GATTACTTCTGACGATGTTTTACTCTTCTTTCTGAACAGCGACCGATGAGACGATGACTGTCGTATTGATGCCTCCGCGAAAATTGGGGAAGTTGGTTGTGAGCAAACAACCAAGAATTGATCGTTCAATCTTCAACTCCATTGACACTCCCCGGCAAAAAAGGGATCCAACCCATTTTTCCTTCACGACCAATACACGTTGACTTGGATGCCATTGCGAGAACCTGGGTCACACGGACAGAGCTAAAATGGAAAACAAACAGAAAAGCCAACACACCACAAGCATACTCACAGCACAATCTCACACATCAATGGCGACCTCCGCATCCAGTTAAAAGCATCCTCTTGCAACACAAACACAACTTGCTAGAATGACTCTTGCAGAATGCAACGTGACCATGGCAGCACCTCACGATACTCTACGCACATCCTCTTATCTACTCATTACCAATTACCACTGAAATCGCTTGTCACTCATTCTGCCTCAGTTCTAGTAGCGGTGACGCATGCGAGCCTCAGTCGTTTACACTCTTTCTCCCCGGCGTGTCGGACCGCAGCTAACAATTATCTCCGTGTGCATTTCATTCTCAGCAATAGCCTAGCCTCCCCGGCGTATACGCCCCATCTGCTGTCCTTAACATCAATCAATTCATTCATGGATGTAGAAGACTCGAAACAACTTCAGAAGTAATCACGACGAAAATTTTAACAAAATTATGCAATATAAACAAGGTACGAAAACAACGAGTAAACACAATGAATCCAAAAACACCAATTGATATGACACACCACACGTATATACAAATAGTACAAACAACCTCGCCGATCATGTCTTGATGGAATTCCTTTGAAGAATTGCAGGACTTACAGCAGTACGCCCACAACCCTTCTCAGGTTGACGATTGTAATTTGTGGAATGTCCGGACACAAACAAGATTAACCAACAATTACAATTATTGGAACTCACACAATTATTTAACACAAACATATGTACAATCAACACATCAAATGTTGTGTATTCTGGCACGGCAAACTACCCTTGAGGAACTGTAGGACTTACAGCAGTACGCCTACGTTCCTTCACAGGTTTATGATCCAAGTGGAAGTCGTCCGGACACAAACAGAATTACCAACAGATAGATGAAAGATGATATTAATTCAGTATATGCAATATGAACATATGTACAAAATCACACACCGAGCACATTGGGCTGCTCATTGATGCGCTAACCTTTGAAGAATTGTAGGACTTACAGCAGTACGCCTACAACCCTTCTCAGGTTGACGCTCTGGGTTGAAAAATCGTCGCAGAGTTCATTTGCTAACTTCCTTCTATGAGCTATATCCTCAAATCTGAACGATAACACGCCCATGTCATTGTATCGGAGAACATAGATGACCAACAAACACACGACATATCTCATCAACCAAGTGTAGAAACAGAGTAATTTACACCAAAGATAATAACATTCAAATAGTAACTTGAAACTAGAAATGCCTTTATTCGTGCAAGTCAATTTAACAATTACACAAGCTACTTGAGTTGATGGGTGTCTGTTTCATTGTGGATGACAACATCAACGATGACCGATTGATACCAGTTGATGAAGTTAGCGGTGGATCAAAAGCTGTTGTTGCTCGACTTTCCGAAAGTTGTCTACATGCAAGACCACCACCACTGGTGTCTTTTACTATCAGCTCAGGTTTAGCACTAGCATCTGATGATAGGTGGGCTTCACGCTGATCAATTACACTGACGGTTTGACAAGTATGCATGCCTTCTGCAACTGCATTTATTTCCACTTCACGTTCAAGTTGTACAGAAACTTTATTTAACTTAGCGGTAGTAGGCATTCCCCCCGTTTCATCATGATCAACCAAAGACAAATGTGAAGTATCATGATCATTATCACAAATATTCAATTTACCGTCAAGTTCATCATTTTCAAACTCTTTAATAACAGAAGTAGACAATTTTGGTTCCTCCTCACAAATCATTAAAGGTTTTATATCTTCACTCTGACTAGTTATACTTTGTAAACTTTTGGAGTCAGAACTGCACTCTGAAGCAGTAACTCTATTCTGTGACACTCTATTCAACAATGGCTTACCAGTTGTAACTACAGACTTCTTCACCGCACCGTTATCGTCACACAATTCGGAGTCAGACCTGGAGTTTACATTTAGCTTATCACTGAACTTGCTCACTGGTTCACAGTTCACTTCTGTATGCACCTCTTGCAAACGTGTAAAACACAACCGTGTTTGTCTTGCATCTTGTAACTTATCTGTTGAGGATGTACTACGAAACCTGTTGCACTCACTAGGTTTATATGCATTACTAGACATCATGGAGCCTTCTCGATATCCACCTCTCTGAGGCTTATTCGTCATCAATGATTGCATTTTGCCCTCAGACTGCTCTATTCTAGGGGTGAGATCTAATAGACTGGCAAACTTGCTCATAGATTGATTGACGCTATCTTTTACCAGTTTCAGGATATCATCAAACTTTGGCTCGATACCATCATCCTCCATACGGGAGCTTATCTTCACCCACTTCCTTTGCAGTCGAGTAGGTAGACGTCTTGCTATTACTTCTAGTATAAAACTCGAGTTGAGGTCACTCATGCGATTCATCGAAATCATTGCATTCTTGTAAATTAGCAAATTATCTAAAAACTCAGTGAGTGCCTGGGAGTCATCCTGTAATTGACCACCATTACCCTTAACAGCCTCGAATAATTTCCCTGCAATCATCGAAGGTCTTCCAAACCTTTGACGTAATATGCTCATAGCCTCATCGTAGCCCTCCTTTGGCTTCATAAACTTACAGCACTGTATAGCTCTTGCAGCATCTCCAGTGCAATATCTCATCAAATACATTAACTTCAATTCATCATTTAATAAAAAACCACTCAACATGATCTCAAACTCCTTTACAAATTGTAAATAATCAGCCGGGTTTCCATCAAAACACCGTGGTTCAAATTTAGGGAGTTTGATGTTCCTATTATCCCTGAACGGCGAAACAGTAACATCAACCATGTCATGCTTAACATCAGACACATCGTTACAATTAACAGACAAGTCACCATGACTTACTTTCCTGTTTGCATCCAAGACACTCTGTCCCTTCTTTGACCCAGGCATTGTTGAACTTGACCCGATTCCAAAAGAGTTCCAGATATTGCTTGCTCAAAGAGGACTTGACCGGCACCAGGAAAGATGAACGCCGACTATCCAAACTTTCACCAACTGTTTGAATCCGCCAGATCTGTTTCTATCGTCAGAAACTGTCAGCCACGTCTCATAAACCGTTAATGCCCAGCTCTCGCTACGCTCGGGCCCACGCTGTTCCTTGAAGTTTCAGAAACGCTTAGTTATAACGGACGAAAAAACCAAAACACCGATCTGCCGCTTGGGATTTCTTTATTGTTACACCAACATATAATAAGAATAACTGAACTAAGGTCTGTGAACAAATATTACAATAATAAATCATAAGATTACTTCTGACGATGTTTCACTCTTCTTTCTGAACAGCGACCGATGAGACGATGACTGTCGTATTGATGCCTCCGCGAAAATTGGGGAAGTTGATTTTGAGCAAACAACCAAGAATTGATCGTTCAATCTTCAACTCCATTGACACAGACATTGCTGAACTTTTGAGTCATGGAAACTGACAAGATTTATGAGTCATGCTATTACTAAGGTTCTCGGTTGCGAAATTTTAAGATAACTATTGAATTGTTTCCACCGACCTTGGGAGTGAGCTTATATGTTAAAATCTTCACGTAAACGGTTTCCTAATTTACGACATGTCCCGGAATGCTGCATGTTACTAGCAGAACGCCCACCTTATTCCTAATATCCTTAAACCCCGAAACTTCAATGTTGCAGCTCGAAGTGATTTTACACATAACTTCGACCAGGTTCGCGACAAAAAACTAAAGTGATTGGGTTTCCATAGCTGATTATGACCAGTTTGGGATAATGCCCAGAATATTATCGCCTTTCGATAGCTATATCCTCTTAACTGCAAAAAGTTAGACTCCGGATGTCTGAATTCAGCCAGATTAATAAGACTGATTTATGAATTAAGTGTTGGAAATAATCTACGGGTGGTTAAGTAGTAGACTAGATCTACAAAAGTCATCTACAAAAGTTACCAAATAGAGCCGTCTCCTCACCATCATATCGCTTAATTCTGTTCAGTATTGGCTCATAATGCTAAATTACGGTTATAATAGCGTAATTTTAGTGACGAAGTATTTTCACAAGAATGGGTGTTTACAAAGTAGTGAAAATGATCTTCATTATTTAATGCACCTAAAAACATTGAGAAAAATGACTGAGAAGGAATTACCACATACTTATATAGCTTTTGGATAGAGGAAGAGAGCGGCCAGAACGGCTTATTTGATTCATTTGGTCATATCGGCCGTTTAAAATGATTGCCTGTTAGTGGTCCATATGATACATCATGACTTTATATCAGCTTGTTTGATATATCCAAGTTATCACAGAAACACTCGTTACAGGAACATTGTTTCTCTCGCCGTTCTGTGAGTAAGTTTAGATATCCATCTGCTCATTTATTTCCCACAGTTCGGTAAGTTCATGGTGCAAGTATGTTAAAATTGTTGTTGTAGATATATTTAATAATGTCTTTGCCATGTAAGCAGCTGACGAGAAGGTAACGAAATAAAAGATGGTACCATTTTATTCTGCTAAAACTGTAGTTCTTACTTTGTTCAAACCCTATTTATGTTGTCAAACAGACGGAAATGGAATCTCAGAACCTTCAAGCTTTATCAGAGAAGTAATAACAGAGTGGCCAGATTAAACCAGCCAAAAACCAATAATTAGTAAAAACCATTCATCAGCAACTAAAAATGAGGTCACTTCAGTCAGGTGGATTCAAAGAGCATTGAATACATATAGGCGGAGGTTTTGATTGTTGCGTCACTCTCTTAGGGTTATGACGATGTGAAATGAATTTCCTATTGTAAGTCGCATGTAGGGATAGGATGTAGTATTTATATGAAGGAATAAACATAGTGCATACATGAAAAATTGGGGTTCTAAAAGCTAAGTATATTTGTGCATTAAACCTAAATTTATATAGGTTATGAGCAAGGTGCATAAATCTTGGCTGTCATATGCTCTAGTTCTCCCCACCAAGGATTTATTTTTAAATGATACAGTGTTGTGTTGTCTAGTGATGCAAGTGGATAGAGCTAAGATCCTTGATTACAGACCTCTTCCCTTAAAGTGTAATTATGTTAACAATTGTTGCGCCAATCAAACTTAGAGAGTTAATGGTGTAATACGTAAGATTAAGAATTTATGGTTGTAACGAGTATCACTATGAGGTTCTAATGTAGATTTGAAATGCCTTGTTGTGCATGCCGCATAAATCAGCTAAGCTTTTCCCCTGAGTAGGAGATATCGGTTCAGTCTAACTCCTATTCGCTCTAAGGACAAAGTTAAATTATCATGGTCAAAACCACAGTAACCTTGAACAACCAGTCAGCTTTCAAATGCGAAAAGGTCTCATAATTGTTGAAAATATCACAGAAAAGTATTTCAAACATTATATTTCACTGTATAGTTGTAGCTTGTGTTAAAAGGACGTCCTTTAGTCACTACACAGATGATCTGTAGCAAAATTTTACCATTCGCGATATCTCCATACATCTCCGTATCTACTCTCCTTCCAAGTTCAAAACGGCAGGCATGGTTTAATTTGGAATGACTTTTCAGAGCACTCCGGTATCAGACCGGTTCTTGAGGGTCAACTTTTTAAAGTCCTTTACTTTGGCTGTGATAATTTAACTTCGCCTCTCTGAGGCTTAATATATGTATTTTTATATTACAACTGGTGGAATGCCTACTGCCTCATCACCTGTGCATGTTGAGATTCCTCGATAACTGCCTCGTGTATTGCATCTAGTGTTGTAAAGGATGATTTGTAGCCAATTGATTGAAGTGACTAAGGAAAATGTTTCAGTTTCACAGTGTTTCCCATAATACACCTATGTTAATATATTAGTCACAATATTTTATCTGTTGGTGCTATGAAATGAGTGTCAGTTAATGTAGAATTTCCTCAGAAATGTTGGATCACTGGTCACTCACTTTCATCATGCGTGTTCTAGTATTTCCAGTGACGTATTATTTATCGTGTTTCTTTGCAGTATAGGATCTCACGTCAGTATCTAATAGAATTAAAAGTTGAGACATCTTGAAAGAATGGCTTGTAAGGGACATCTCTGATGGACTAAAAACAAGGTATGCAATAGTTGAAGCCTCTCATTTGTTTTACGAAATTTCAAATTCAAGGGACCTGTAAATTAAAAAATCGAACTTAGACTTCTTAAAGAAACAATTATACTGTGTAAATAGTGCTTTATTCCCCTTATGATTGAGGATGGTTCAACTATCCAACAGTGCGGACGTGCAATTACCCACTTTGTTCAGTTATAGGACTTTTACCACCACTAACCCTGGTAGTTTGTAGTATGGACTGTCTGGTGCAGGAATATATATATATATATATATATATGGAGTTGTGATGTCATCTCATTAAATACTCATTGAACAATGTAATTCAGGCTTGACAAGGAAAAGTGTTTCTAACAATTTGAGTAACCTATGTCAAATAGTGTACAGATGATCCTTTTAAAGTTGAAGAAATGGGTTCTAGGATAAACTCAGCCAGTAAAACATGAGGGGACTTTCGGAAATTATTGTTTTAGGTCCGCCGTATAGTTAATATTCAGTGGTAAACTGATAATTTAACTTAGGATTTCACTGAGCTTAATAGAAACTCAATACAAAGTTCAGACTGAGGAAAGAAATATTGATTTTGGGAAATCAGGTATTAAGAGCGTAAGAAGTCAATAAATCTCTGGAAAAGTGACTAGAAAATGTTGAGAATAACTTGGGGAAAATAGGTGTGGTTTCCAGCATCCCTTGAGTTATTAGTAACCATTTAAATTCAGAATGGATGGTAGATGTGTCGCAAACTGTTTCAGATGTGGATAAACTCATAATAAACCTAGTGGACCATTTCCAGGAGCATTCAAGTAAAAGGAACTGGTGTTACCAAAGAATAAACGTACTAAGACTTCAAGTATTGGACTTACATTGACTTTATGATACTTACCTAAGATGGAATGCAGTAGAAATTATACCTAAACTTTTAGGTAAGGTGTGGTACCTATAAGTCTGCATCGCTCCAGATGACCGAGACGTGCGTTACGAACGCCATGTATCTGTGGTGCCATGTTTTCATTTGATTGCCTCTCGCCTTTTCTTCAAACTTCACTTAACACGCTATACCATGGGGTTATTTAGGGTCGGTTTAATCTGTATGGGGAAATTTAGTTTGGCATTTGAATTGTTTTTGTATTTTCTCTAGAAAATATATTCATTTTACTTGACTTAAAAATACAAACGTGGCAATTTGAACGACTACTTAGTAAAACTAGAGCCTGTGTTAAGACCTTTTTTTGTCGTTTTCATATAACTGCTCACTCAAAAAAGTTGAACTCTGTTTTCTCTGTACCATGATGACTTGTACTTGAATTCAGTTTGTAATCACGATGCTGGTTGGTCTACGTTTAATAATGGTGATGTGAAATAAATAAAAAAGAAAGCATAATTAAGATGTCCTTCCGGTGTTTAGTTGTGTGTTAAGTTTATTGTCTAATTTATGTACACCCTGTCGAAAACTGGTTTCTGATATAGCTCAGCAGCTGCTCACAGATTTATGCACCCACATGTGAGCAATACTTTCTACTGAGCTGCTTATAATGTTATCTGGAATCCAAAGTTTGCTCACCCACATCTGTCGATATCATCCATATGTACACAAACGATCATTAAAAAATTTCAGCATTATCACTCAGAAGTTCTGAGGGTTAATAGGAGCGCAGATTATGAAGCAGTAATTAAGCGACTTTACTTTTTTCTGTGCAGCAAAGTTTCAATAGTGACATGTTGGAGGTCATGTGAAGGGGAGAAGGTGAAAAATTGTAAACAGTCGTGGAGCAATTTGAATGTGATGGATGGCAAAGCGCTTAGTGTGTTGCTGAAATCGTGTGTGTCTCACTGAGAATGCATGAAAACAAAAGTCTATTGAGATTCTTCAATCTTTCTTATCCTAGCCGATAACTGCTATCTCGAGGTAGTGACCCGGGGCGTGTAAATTGCATTAACTGGAACTAATATTCCTCTAGAAACTACCCTTTCAGAAAGGTGTACAGATAGCGCTTAGAATAAAGGCAGTTATCATTGTAGTGTGATTTGTTTACACTGGGTTCTGTGGATGAAGTCATACTACTGCGGATAGGGATTTAACAGAAATAGGCATTTTCCACCAGATAAGCAGGATGGCAGTTGTGTTACGTCTCAGCTGTGGAGAGGAGGGGTTCAAAAACACTCATCCTGAAAACAGCACACCCCAACTTACCTTGTGGCGGACCGATCCGTAGATATTATTACAGGCACAGTTGCAAAAAGCATTTCAAAAGAGGCCGTGTGTAACCGGCATCAAGTAGTCATTCCTTGAGCTCTGCAGTCATTCAAGAGTAGCGCTCCTTCAGTCCCAGGTAATCTAAAAAGGAATCAAATTCCATGGTGCGCGCAGCCAACACACTTTCATAAAGACTTAAGGCTTTCATTATACATATATAAATCTTCCGCGCTCAGCATTAGGATTATTATTATTGTTTCTTTTAATTCCTAGAGGAATATAGGGCTTCAGCCACGCGTCTCCATTGCGTTCGGTTCTCTGCTAAAGTTTTCACCTGGCTCCAAGTCGGCTCACATGCTTTCAACTCCTCTTCACATGATCTCCTCCAAGTCACCCTTGCACTGACGACCAACTCTCCACTTTCTTTCGGGTTCCACTCGAGTAATGGCTTGTCTAATGATGTCACTTGATGGTTTCCTCAGAGTATGGCCAGTTCACTCCACCTCCATTTTTTCCTGTTGAATGGTGCACGAGCTTGCCTTTGTAACCGGAAAGTCCTGAGTTCGAACCCTGCCGATGATTCCCAAAGTATAATGAAACAGCATTTGGAACGTGATTCAACTTCTCACACTAATGCCTAGTCAGTCAGTGCTTATGTGTCATTCAGAAACTTGGAGGAGCGCATCACGAAAAGCATGTCGAACAGGCTAATGGAGACTTTTATCAACAACTGCTACATGCATTCACTGGCTCCATACTGAAGATCAGATCGCCGACCAGAGACAATTAACAACAACGAACCAATCAAAAATCTATCGCTCAACAAATATAAAGCAGGAAATGGAGATTAGAGAGGTAAAGATGCGCCATGCCATCGCTCAAATGGGGCACCAAGTAGGCAGCGACGAGTTGGGCGTTTAAAAGTGATATGGAGAAATTCGTGTAAGTAGGAGGAGAAGGCGAAGGAAGACGACATAAATGCTCACGACCAGGCTGTTCAGTCAGCTGAAAACGACTGCAGAGAGAGAGAGAGAGAGAAAGAGAACTGAAGGAAGCAAGGAAGGAAGGTGGAGAAGAGCAGTTGAATTTGTGTATGATTCACTTAGAAATTCGAAGGGAATTACATAGAAACATGTATATTTTTTAGAGGTCTGTCAATATAATATCAGATAACTTCATAACTCACTATTAAAGTATCACTAATTAACGGAATTCATCCAAATAAGACAAACACAAATGACATCCATCAGCTTTCACTGTTTAAATACTATTGTATAATTTTATTTTTTTTTTTTGATTTTTTTATGTTAAAGTTATGTAAAGTACACATCATTCCAAGAGATTAAATGCTGATTCGATGTCATTTGTTTTACGGCATAATGTAGTGTAGTGAGATACACTCGCCTCATATATGTGTATATATATATATACATCATTTGGTTATTGGTATTCGACGGAGTATATATATATATATATATATACATAACAGAAAAACAGTAGTAGGATGGCACACACACTACAAGAGTGCATCTATAATTTCTGTGTGTGTCACCCCCTCCCTCCCTATCTCTCTCGCGCGAGCACTGTATATCTATTTTAGGTGCGTACTTGCCATACACCAATGTACTAATATATATATATATATATATATTTTTTTTAAATTTAATAACTCAATTATTGATTAGGTCTTTCATTTTTTTGTTGTTCACATGACTTGAAAGGTAATTTATAAACAAAAATGCATATATATATGTATATGCATTTAAGTAATTGTGTATGTAGAGATAGATTCGCCTATTCAACTTGATCGAAGCACTCACTCACTCACTAGCTAACCAACTAACTAGCTACAAGAGAAGCTAATAATGATGGTGCATATCACCTTTAATCATTTTTGGCGGTCTAATCTATTTTTTAAAGAAACCATACAAACAAAAGGCCTCTCATCATCATCATCATGAACAACAAATCAAGAAAAAAATCACACGACTTCTTTTCTTGTTAAATCAAAAATAAATAACACACACACAATAGTGTCGTTTCTGTTGAGATATAAATTCTGATAGCTTAATTTTATAGAATTACTTTCAAAATTTCTTACCTGTAGTGTAACACTAGTTGTTGTTGTATATTGTGTATTATGTATATGCAGTACATCGACATTGCCATCTCTTTCATCATCATTAGTATTTTGTATTACAGAATATAATAAAGTTTTTATTTAAAAACGTGCTCAATCAACTGTTTTATGTGCATGTAGGTTACATAGCCTTTTGTTTTTTGTAGTTTTCACTGCATATATAAAGATGTATTGGGTGTCTTGTTTTAATTAACAATATTTATATGTATATATATGTGTGTATACGATACTGCCACTAATGCTTAAGTTGTATATGATTACAAGTACAATCATCATCACTTCACAATGGACTATGTATTTAATCTGAAATTATTATCACGATTTTTCAGTGGGAATCGGTTATGCAGTAAAACATTCAAGCCGAGGAAAAACGCCTCTGAGCACAATAGTAGTAGTAATAATAATAACAACAGCAGCAACAACAACAATCACAGCAATAATAATAATCATGATAACAATAATAAACAGCATGATATATTACCAGAGACAGCTGCTACCCTTGGAAGTGGAGATTTAAGGCTAGCTGTTCGCCTACCAGAAGGGGAAGATCTACACGAATGGATTGCTATAAATAGTAAGTCTTTCTTTTGTCTCTATGTGTGTGTGTGTTTATCGTTGTTTCTCATTGTTGTTTGAAAGCCAGTGGGACATAGTATTATTATTATTGTTGTTATTATTTGACCTTGAAAGGGCATCACGTTGAGGTGTTTTCTTCTTCAAGGTTGTATTACTTATTTTATATGTGTGTTTTCTATGAATTTATGGTGTTCACTTGTGAGTTAGTCAGTGAAGGGTTGTGGAGTAGCTACATTGATTAAGGAAATGGATAGGATGTGCATGATGCAAGCCATTGCCTGCCTCGATGAGTTAGAAGGAAGTTAAGGATGGCTAAACCAAGCTGTGCCATCATTCCATGAAGTCTTCAACTGATTAGTATGCACCATGTAGGAAGCTGAAAACTGCCCCTTGTGTTGAAGTCCTCGAGAGGATAAGAACTTATGACTGAAAAAAGGTTGGTGATATGGTTCAAAATCATTTTCAACAGCGCAGATGCAGTCTACCTTGTCCTCTCATACATTTCTTTTCAATGTAGTCCTTTTTTTTAAAGATTTTTTCTCTACTCTTTTGTGTGCTATACGGACTGTGGCAGTTTTCAATGCTGCACTCTTTTGTGTAAAAGGATGTGTGTACTGCTCAGCAGCAGCAGCAGTTCGCCCCGTCATCCTCTATAGCTTTCAGTGAGACATGGCCATTGAAAGCGGAAGGCATGAAAACGTTGGCTAGCTGTCTTTGATCATAGGTGCCTGCGTTCTATTTCCCTTGTTAAGTGGTATAATATGAGAGGTTGTGGAGTCACATTGATTGAGATGGTTAGGAAGTATGCTACACATTCCTATTTTAGTCGTTGGCTTCCTCGACGACAAGCGGTGTTAGCTAACTGACATAGGATGGATCAGGTTGGAAAATACCTAGTGGTGCTCAAACCAAAAAATAGCTTCATCAGTCAATGAAATCCAAAACAGTTATTTTGAGTCAGCCAGCCACACAGGGATGTGTAGACTTCTTGGCTTGTTGGGGTCCTCGGGAAGGTGAAAACCAATGAAAGCTGGAGACAATTGGTAATATGGCTGGCTCAAAATCGTTCTCAATGCCTGGTGCAGATGCATCCACTCCTTGCAACTTATGATATCCAATAAAACTCTATGGTTCCTGCATTTTACCATTCTTTTTTGCCTCATATCTCTGTTTACTGTCTTTGTTTTTGCATTTGTTTTTACTTTCTCCTCTTGCTTTGTGTGCTACATGGAGTGTGGCGATTCGAACTGCTGTACATCGGTGGAAAGTTCTATGTTGAAACTAGTCAGTCAGTTAGTGCAAACTTCCACGTGAAAAACTTGGTTAGTCAGTTGGTCAAGTATACTTGTTAATGCCGTAGTAGTTTTTGAAATTACTGGGTAAAAGCTACATAGACTCATAGATTAAGATTATGACTCAAACATCTCAGTCGACTTCTCAGGCTTTAAAGTTAAACCTAATTCTCATTATTAAATCACACGATAGAGTGGAAAGGGTTCGTTTTTGGTTTTATGCCTTTATTTTCAGCGCATTCCTGTACGATTAGCTATGATTCACTTGAAATTTCGTACACATGGGGGGGGGATTACGATCTCATTTCGTTTCACGTGATCTACATGTCACCGTTGGATACCCATTTGGGTTTCACTCTAAGGCTTGATTGGTGTGGGATCTGATTTGAAAGGTTGTTTTCTCAGATGATGTCTAATCTATCTGCATATCATTCTGCATATTTGTTGGACATTAAATTTCTTTGCTGGTCCGCTGTCTCCTGAAGTTCCTTGTTGCTTATCCACTTCAGATACCTGGCTGTCATTCGATTTTCATCATCGAGTGAAGGAGACAGATTGTTGGTGAAAGTCAGCACAAGCCTGTTGAAAATGCTCTGGACCATATAGAATCACTGAATGATTTAACATTAGCGGACAGAATTCTCATTCGATTAGCACCGGACTAGTCCGGGGTTTCAATCCGTCTCTACCTTCTTCATTCCAGCTGAATGAATCGTCTCTCAGTCAGCATGGGTTACGCGTAGCCTGGTACATAAGATAGATCTATCCCGGATCATTAGATTCAAACTCTAAATATAAACTTTTATTAATGCTGTTTTAGAGTGTAAATGCAATTGTGTTAAGGGTTTTATAAAGTAATACAAGAATCTGTAGTCGCTTACTCAATGTGCGCCTTTATGTGTATAAGCTCTAGGTATTATTTATATAAAATACAAAATAATCGAGCAAAGAATATCCTTTTCGATAAATTCCTCTTCCGGCTCTACAATTATATGCATATGTTTATATACACAGAATATTCTAGAATAGTAGTCAATAACAATATTAGTGCTTTTTTTAAATAATATCGATTTGTAAAGTATGATCACAATGGAATTACAATTCATTAAAGATGCCTAAATTATCATAAGATATATAGAATATTTGATATAGGAATATCAAATGAAATTAGGAAATTTCCACAACACATTGAGGATGATTCAAACCTGGATGACCAAGGTAATGATAATGTCTGCACTAACTTCTTTTGGATGTATAAATTAGGCTTGTTAATATGGATACTTAACAGCCAGCCTCAGCAATATTTAGTAGTCGATCTCTTAAGGCAACATTGAGATTCGTAGGGTATGCGGTAAATGCCCCTGAAAGCATGGTTAACGACAATCTTGTGTTCTGTATCCACAAATGAGATAGAGTAGCGCTACGAATAGATTTTGTTTGTCCTTTGCTTAACCAGGCAGGGTGATGTTCGGAAATTCAAGGGGAAACACGCCTAATTGTACGGCCTATGCAACTAACTGGCTCCACAGGATTAGTTCAATTGGTAGATACACATGGAAGAGGTGAAATTAGGCAGTTTGTCTTTTACTCCGAACGCAGAGAAGGAGTGGTTTTAAAGACACAGCGTAATTCATCAAAGGGAATGCTCTTTTTACTGCATTTTTAAGGCGCTGTGTTAATATCTTGCTGATGTTGTCCCCAAGGAAATGCATCTGTAAGAATAAAGCCTTTTTGGAACTGTTGGTAACTTGGGCTACTTTGGTTTCAGATTCATATTCTTATCAACAAACTTTTCAGGATAACCATACTTTCAAGGTCATTTACCGCATACCTACAAATCTCAATGTTGCCTTAAGAGATCGACTACACAATATTGCTGAGGCTGTGGGGATGCATATTACAAGTCTAATTTATACATCCAAAAGAAGTTAGTGCAGACATTATCATTACTTTGGCCATCTAGGTTTGAATGATCCTGAATTTTTGTGGAAATTTCTCGAATTTTATTTGACATTCTATACGCTATTAAATTTTTATCATTATTACTATAATTTAAGCATCTTTAATGAACTGTAATCCCATTGTGATCTTACTTAACAAATCGATATTATTTAAAAAAAAACTAATATTGTTATTAACTACAAGTCTAGAATATTCTGTGTATATAAACATGCATATATAATTGTAGAGCCAGAAGAGGAATTTATCGAAAACGATATTCTTTGCTCGATTATTTTGTGTTTTATAGATGTCTGAATAAAATTTTGTCATATAAAATAGGTTAAACCAAAACTGGCATCAAATCATGCCGTATAAGGGTTAATATGAAACACATTGGGAAGTCAAATCTTTTGACTAGATCTAGGTCGTATGAGATGTTAAAAATCAATGTTTGTTGATGGGGAATATAACTTGAAGGTATTTACAAGGATATAGGCATTTTAAATAATCTCTATTCTCTAATTGTTCAAAACTGTTAATTACAGGGTAGATGTAGAGGGTGTAGTAATGCGACACGTCCCTTTGTTCATATCTGTATTCCTTTTCACTCCTATTGGAACATGCAGCCTTGAACTCGACTTTGGAAGGTTTCAGTAGCGGTTGTGTTGTTAGTCAGACCACCCCCCCCGCAACACCCCAACCTCACATCTTTTTTTAAACTGGCCTACTATCATCGGTTAAATGAAGTGTAGAGAAGTGCGTCAGCTGGGAATCGACCCCGAACTAGTTGGCGTGGCTGATAAAAATCCTACTAATTAATTAACCAATGATGACATATCTCTTGCTCATGGTTAATTTGGGGACGGAAATTTATGGACTACGCCTGTAGTATTTTTTTTTTTGACGGACTTAGGAGATGAGTGAGTTGTATAATTAGGAGGCAAAGAGAGCAAAGAGAGTGTGATGTCACTTCAAAGTTCGAAGGTATAGAAGAGTTATAAATAAAAAGCTAAGACCGAATTGGTTGGAAACAACAAGATCAGCACGATGATAATAGAGGAGCCGTGTTTTCCATATCTGAATTCTTAAACCTTCAACAATACAATAATAATAATAATAATAAATTTACTTTTTTCCAAAAACAGTACTTGTGGTACAGAATGGAATTTTCAGCATTAATCACAATATTTTATCTAATTTCCTCAAATTATAAATAAAAATTAATCACACAGAAAATTTTCCACATTTACAATAGAGGTAGTGTCAGAAACATGCAGCATATAAAATGGAAATAGCAATAATAATGATAACAGCTAGGGTAATAATAATAATAATACAAGTGAAAATTGCCGTGGGCTTGTTTCACACAGTATTGGCAATGTGGTATAGAAATCCTAACATGTTTAAAAATATTGAATATAATGTTCTCTTTACATGGATATGGTGAGGGGAAAAACAAAGATTACAGCAGTCATGGAGATAAGTTGGTGTTTGCAATTATGAGAGTAAAACAAGGAAGCAACAGGACCGTAAATATAATCGAAATAATAAAAGTAAAACTTGAAGGTATATAAGGATGGATGGATGGAGGAAATTGTTTATTTACTGGATGAAAAAAGGTTAGTTAATTCTTGCCTGACACTATTTTCCCTATCACATAAAATACGTTCCAAGTATGGTATCATAGAATTTCTATACTTAGACGTGCGAGCATACAGTTTTCTGAAGTTACTTCTTGTTCTACCTGAGGAGAGATGCAAGATGA